GTTTCCACTGACGTCGGTGCGGGAGCGGAATAGGCGGGTCGTACGAGGATCCGGGCAAGAGCGTACGGAAGAATCTAGCACTTGGAAGTTGGAGGTGGGCCCGGGTTTTCCCACCGGGTGGTCCACGGAGAAGATTCGAAGTCGGCAAGACGGAGCTGCGTGAGCAAGCCGAGAACGGCAAGCAATATGGTGTACATGCCGGGCTTCACTGTTAGAGCAGTTTTTTAGTGAAGACAAAGGTCGACAACTGCAGTGGACGGTGGCAGGAAGAAGGTTATATAGATCCAACTAGTTTTGAGCTTGTCGACACCCGATCATACACCTCTCAGTTACCTCCTCTTGTTCGTTTGTCATAATTTCGCTAGGGTGCTGTAGTGGGCAGCGGAGAAGGTGAGAATCTACGTAGCATGCGGAGACGCAAACGGAGGCAGATCAAGGCCGCCAATTTGCGTATGCGATATTGCATATCGGACACGACTCATTGGTCTCTTTGCACACGGGTAAAATTTTCAAGAATGTAGGCACGGAAACGAAGATCCAGGCGCCGGGTGGGAATGTGAATGAACTCACGTGTGACAGCAACAACGTGCGACAAGTGAAACTGTGGTCTTTGTGTAGGCACACTGAGAGCGGCATGATCCGTTAGGTTAAGTTTAACGGCTCTCACAAAACCGAAAGCACAATTTGAATTTTTTTCCTTCGGTTTCTTTTTTATGTTTCAGAGTCTAACATTTCCATTTCATTCCCTGGCTATGACATAGAGATAAGTTGTCGCGGTGGGCCGAACGGCTGGTGCGCAGTAGAAAAGATTGTGGAATTCTTCTGCTGGAGGGTGTACTATCTAGAAGCTACCGAGTATGTATGTGTACGAGCGTAAACATCGCTAGTCCCAGATAGGTGTAGCCCTCTCAGAAAGGTGAGTGGCAACTAAGCAAGGGTAGGAGTAACCATCTCATCGAGTAAGAGCCATTAAACCGTCACATAAGTTCCTATACACCGGATTTGACTCATCATGTAGAGGCTCCTGAGCTGTATCAAACTGATATAGACAGCCTCCTGCAAGAGGAATGAAGGAAGTGCAGATCGCCACTTGCTTATGCGCAAGTGTTGATCGCACAACCACTCATCCAGTTGCTTCCCTTCGCTACCACCCGCGATCATGCGAGTTGATGAAGTCTGCTGAGAAGTACATGGAGCAGCGCATCCTAGCATGGCCACTCCACTCACCACAATTCTGGAACCACGAATCGTCTTCATATGATGGTGTGCATTTGCCAACCGCCAAGCCAGTTCCCGCAGCAAACATCGTCCACGGTTCTCCAGGATGACCGAGCCGATAGATGGCTACACGCATTAGTCATTACACGCGCCGCTCATAGGGAAGACTGACTCCAGTGGAGCTGAGGGGTATTGGAGAAGTGCATCTCCAGTATGTCGATGTCGGATGGATCTCCCCCACCTGCAGCCCCAGACCAACAGCCCTTGCCGTCGCAGCGGACGCCAATCTTGTTTCCGCTTACGTCTCTACGCTTTGGAAAGAGGCGCGTTGTATGCAGATCGGGGCAGGATTTCTGAGAGGCATCCAGGACCTGCCAGCCCTCGGTGGGGGAGCCTTTGGTGTTGCGCTTCAAGTAGTAGATGTCGAAAGAGCCCGAAACAAGCTGCGCAATGAGGATGACCATCATCGCGAAGTTGAGGTGGGGCTTCATGATGGGCGGAGTGATCGTGTTGAGCGACGGTCGATGCGTGGAGGATTAATCTGTGAGTAAAATTTTAGCGTACTGAGCGGCAGTCCAATCTTATATACTCGACAGAATGGTGCTGTGTGCACGCGCTAATAGTAATATTTCACCATTTCAAGCACCTACTAGCGCCTTCTATCGAAGTCTCGGACCTACTGATTATGTCTCTCTCAGTATATTGTAAGTTACCTAAAGTAAGTGATATTTGCCGCCGTGTGCGCTTGCTTGAAGTGAAGAGCCGAAGAAGTGCATGGCAAGTAATTATATATGGCACGGGACCTCGACAATGTTCAATAACACAACAAATCACATGATCGAGGGTTGAAAACATGATTTGGCAGGATCTGAGCAGTGATCGTGCACGTCACGTACGCACGATACAGTCGTATGGTTCACCACCTGACCCGCCGCATTTTATCATGTGCGCCTTGTCCGATAAGGCCAAAGGGCAGGCCTTTTACATAGGTAACTTAAAGATGCCTTACAGAAGCAGCGGGCGATTTGTATCCCGGACGTTGAAGAACTCGGGCTGCTTTAACTAAGAACTAAACATGGTCAGCATCAGAACGGAACTTCCTCAAGGCCGGATCGGTAACTCAAAACTACTATGTACCAACGTCTCATCATCAAACCCTGGAAAAGGCATTCCTTGCCCATGAGGAGCCCATGGTAGCGCGGGGAGCAGTACGAGAAGGACATACCAACAAGACCGCTGCATTGATAGGGAGGTCAGAGGTGACTATGATGTCGGTGGGGAGCAGACGCTTGATGGCCGCGGAAGGGCGTTGTGCATCTATTCCAAGGTTTCCCGGCCTGCTCCCGCGTCAGACACTTCCAAGAATGAAAATATACTCACTGGATTCCCTCACCGTGTATCATCACTCTTAGAAGAAAAAAAACAGGCGTGGTTCGTATAATTGAATTGAACAGATGAGAATAGTTGTTGCTTACACCCTTTCATTGGGATCCCAAGCAATATCTATTGACGCCAGACACCAGGCTCATTTCCCATACACCATTATACCATGCTAACATATGCCCATCCAGTGCCTGCCATAATAAATTCACTTCACCAACTCGTCTACAGCTTCGCCTGTGCCCCTAGAATCTCTCTCATCTCCCACCTCGGGAACTCCGGATTCAGCTTCTCGTCCGGTCTCTCGCGGTCCCACGCCCACTTCTCTTTCAGCTCGCTCTCTAGTTCGCCCTCCAGCATTTGCACAACGTACTTGCCCAGCACAGGGAAGAACTTGTATCCGTGGAAAGAGCCGCAGGTAGCGACGTAGAGGCCCTGCGCGCCCGCATGAGGGGAGATGATGAAATCTGAAGAGGAAGTGAAAGCGTCCCAGCAGATACGGTGCTTCACCATGTCCCAGTGCGCACCATTCTTGCCGTAGAACATCGAATTGACCCAGTCAATGTCTTGCTTCAACGGGGCGGCCACCTTCCATTGGGCGTAGTCGGGTTCTGGCGGAGGGGCGCTGATGCGCTTGCCGAGGATGTCCAGTGTGTTCTTGAAGATCTTTTGGCCCCACCACTTGAGTTCGCGGTCGGCCGTGGGAGGGAGGGAGCCAATGAACGGACCTAGGTTCAATGTTAGCTACCATAGGTATATGATCACGACCAGTACGAGAAAGATAGTACATACCTATTGTCGCGGTGTAGCTCTGCACAGCGACAGGCATGTGCTCAAACTTCTTGTACGACTCCTCGTCTAGGCGTGTCATGCCGGTGGTGATTCCACCTGCTATTATCCTGCCGCCTGCCGAAATGTCTGGTTTGTTGCTCGCCCTAGCTGCTTGTTCGAGGAGTTTCGCAGTGAATGCACCTGTGCACAGGATGACTTTGGATGCTGACAGTGTAATACCCTTCTTCGTCCTCACACCCGTGCATCGTCCGCTGCGGTCAAAGGTTAGGGATTCAGTCTCGGCGACCACGTACTTGACGCCTAGCTCGATGCACTTCTTCGTCACCGCGATGAGAGCATCGCCGGCATTTGCCCACCCACTGGTCTTGTTGACAAGTACATCCCTCACATCGGTATAGTCCGCGTCCTCGAACAGGCCACCGTACAGCTTCCTAGCTTCCTTCACACTCATGGCTTCCAGTTCTGCTTTTCGACCAAGCTTCTTATAGTTCTCGACGACTTGAGTGGCGTAGTCGGTCCGGCACATCCAGTAGATACCGGTCTTGTGGAAGAAGGGCTGGTACAGGGGATCCGACTCGAAGATATCCTGCGCCTCAAGGGCAAGCTTGCAGTAGATTATATCATCATAGTCTGCGCGAATAACCTTGTTCCAGTCCCAAGAAGCTGCCACGCGCGATTCTGCATTGTATGCATCGCGATCAACAATGGTGATGGAGGCACCGGGGTATTTGCGGATGAGGGTGTAGGCGGTCGAGACGCCGAAGACGCCAGCGCCGATAATGAGGTAGGAATCCGATGCCATTGTGAGACAGCCAAGGGTCAGTGTGTCAGTGTGTTGAGCGTCTGTGTAGCGATTCTTGATGGTGCATGCGGAGCGCGCAAGAGCGCTTATAAGGGCTTGCGCAACCTGCGGGCGGCTCCCGTCGGCAGGTGCCTCTGTTCAAACAGTGTCCCCATGTGGTCTCTGCGGGGTCACTATCTCTTACTAGTGGAAAAATGTGGTTTGTTTGTATATGGGGCGCCGTGCTTCATGCTCCTGGATGGGTGTCAGGTGCACCGTCGTAACGCGATGCGAGAGCCGCGGGGAGCTCTTTTCCTGATTGGGTCATGTCTTCCACCAACATCGCTATCAACCAGTGCCGTAGGTTCCTAAATGAAGCCATCTAGCCCGGTTTATCCCCTGGACACGGTTCAATTGCGTCGCCAGTGTCAATTCCAACGTATGATATGGGCCGAAGACGGTGGGCCAAACCGGTACAATTAGGCAGTCTCCACACCACGCCCAGGGCACATTGATTCTGGTGAGGGTAAACCGCTGAGATGAGCATCATTCATGGTGGTGAGCTTACCGCTATACAAGTTATTTTTACCGCCTTGTGTAAAGTTCAATGGAGCCATGGCATCTCTATTCCACCGGAGCCCAACTGCCTGTGGTAGTATTCTGATGTCCACTTGCGTAAATCGCGTAGAAACGCACTACCGATATAAATGGCCTAATCATTTTAGACTGGTATTTAGGCCCCCCTAAGCAAAGCTGTGAGGCCCTAGGAAGCTCAGTGTCTAAGTATATATACTTTCCTTGCCGACCATTTTCAAATCACGTGACCAGCGCCCGCTTGGCTCAGTGGTAGAGCGTATCACTAGTATTACACGCTATGATAAGGTCGTCAGTTCAATTCTGACAGTGGGCAGTCTTTCTCGTTCCTGTTCACATCTAGCGTGGGCATCGAATTTTTTTGTGGCAAGGACGTGTGGGTCTCCCGCCACGCTAGTCAGTGGCTCGGGGTCTCGAATGAAGCATGCACGAAAGAAGTAATTATACACTATAAAGAAATACAATATGACCATGAATAAATTCTCATCGGCGTCCTGACCGGCATCATCTGCATGCTGCACAAGTGGCACATCTACCACCAGTTGGCCACAACTGTGGGCTTCCTCCTCGCCATCTTGATGAATGTGCTATTCGCCGTGTTTGGGAATCCGCCGCTGACGGTCCCTGTGCCTACCATTCCCGTGCTAGTTGCCAACGGTGGTCCAGTGGTGATGACCATCGTGGGATGCTCGGTTCCCGGAGTGCTCAAACCGCCGGCGTCCGTACTGACAGGCGCGTCTGTGGGCTCAGCAGTGAGAGTAGAGTCCGGTTCTTCGGTGGGTGTGGCTTCAGGAGTAGGCGTCGGTGTCTGGACGTCGGGACCAAAGCCCATGCAAGTGCTAAAAAGCGGCCATCTCGTGTCGAAGAGATCTTTCTGGAAGTCTGGGCTCTTATCAATCTGACCCATGTTGAGGTTCACATTGATTCCAACACCAGCATCGACTTCCACGCCTAGGGTCTTCTGGGTGCCGCAAACACCTTCCGAGTTGACTTGCGCAGACAACTTGGCTTCGAAGTAGGGCAGTTCGGCATCGACACTGGCTTGGTAGCCCCAAACTGGTGACATTGTTAGATCCGAGTTCATTTACGGATGAAAGTGGCCAGAGAACTCACCACCACCAAGGACCTCTGCTTTAAACTGCACACCGAGCTCCCCCCAAGCCCTGACATCGCCACCGATTTCCGCACTGAAAGTCGGGTCGATTTTCTCAAAGACCGGGTCCCAATCCTTGATACTATTCTCGCCGTCTCCAAGTAGAACAGCTTTGACCTCGGCAGAGTCCTTGAGCGAAGCTTTGGCACCGGCTGACCACGTGGCTGTGCCTGTGAGGGCGGAAGAGCCGAGATGAACGCCCATAGTGATATAGGGACCTAGTTCAAGAATGCCCTTGATGTTGAGAGCACCAACAGGTATCTCGATCTCAGGTGTCTGCCAAACCGGAAAGGTTAGTGTCTACCTCAAAAGTAGGGCAATACTTAACGTGTGTATTGCAAGACTTACCAAGGCCCAATCTAGAGGCCGTCCTAAAGTTCCGTCTGCATTCAGCTCGAGCATGATTTGACCATAAACTCCTTGCGGGTACACCCTCATTGAAACATCCGTTGGGAACCCCAAGAATGTATCGATCTCAAAGTCAGCGACCATAGATCCACCAGTAGAGATCTTGGCGTTGGCGCTGAGGCTCAATCCCGAAGTCTGATCCGACTCCTTGCCGAAGTTGAAGATCGGCTGGTCAAAGTTCATACTCAGGTCGAACTTCGCGTCCTCGTCTTTCCTCACGAGCTGCGGATGCGTGACGTTGGCAGTGTTCGGGTCAACGTATTCGTGTGAGGTGGAGAGATGGAAGTTCATCGCCACGTCTTTCCACTCCACCTCTTCAGCCTTGAGACAGGCAGTGAGCTTCGAACTGTCGAAGTCAATCGTCTTGACCAGATACGGCGAGCGGTCGTCACCCTGGTAGCATTGATCCGGTTCGGTAACCAGAATGAAATGATTGATATCCTCATCGTCGACCCATTTCCACTGCTTCTGGGCATAGTCGTAAGATTGCTGGTCCTGAAATGTCAGAGTCATTCCTTCTCCTGGCTTGCCACATTTGATCGATTTGAGCTCCTTTGCGAAATTCTCTATGGGGAGGATAAGCTCTTCGTCTTGGGGTGCACGAAGGGTGAAATTGGCCATGTAGAGGTTGTCTCCCGCTGTCAATCGGTTAGCCTATCGAACAGAGCTCTGTCGCTTATGTGACGCATTGTGGCGAACTGTTATAATTGAAGTCGCCTGACGAACTTACCATAGGCACCCCACAAGAACTCGTTTTCGCTGGATGGATCATAACAGCTGTTTCCTACTTTCTCTCGCTTCGTAAACCTTCCAGTCACCTCTCCTGGGTCTCTGATTGGAACGAATTGGACGCCTGGTAGTTTGTTGTCGCGTTCCGCTAGGGTTTTTGCGGGGTTCTTCGGCACGGTAACGATGGGCTTGAGGACCACGGCACTGGCCTCGAATGTAAACAGAGCAAGAACAGTGGCCTTCAGAAGGCTGCGCGGTTCGGAAAACATCGTTGTAGATGGCGATGTATCGCAAGAGAAAAGAACGTATGGGTAATGAATGTAAGAGTCGACAATCGACTCTGTAAAGAACGACTATGAAGCAAAGAACATACAGGAGCTCAAAGAAAAGGAAGAGTGCCTAGCCCAGCGATTTCAGACTTGAACATGCGCTGCACTTACTTTTGTATTCGAACCCGGGCAAACGTTTCTGGACGCACACTGGCCGAAATTGACATCAGCACATCGGTCCGGTAGGCTTGGTACCGTTCGTTGAGCTGAGAAGGACGGAAGATTGCCGTCTCGTGTACACCGCATGTGAAACCACGGAATTCGATGACCAACATGAGCCGATATGTTTAGAAAGGTATGTGAGACATGTCACAGGCAAGTTCATCGCCATCGTTTCGGCAGTTCGTCGGCCGTGAAGAGATTGGGGGCGATTCATGCGTTCCTCGCTGAGGGAATGTCCGAAATACTGGACAGTAAGCTAGGTGGTGTCTAGAGATAGGTGAGGCAACTCTACACCCTCCAAGGAAGTCCGGGTGCATAATCGCTAATCCCCCCTTCCCTTGTAGAAGACAATTCTTAGATCGGTTTAACCTGTCCGGCAGACCTGCCACCATTCACCAGTTTGTCCTTGGATGGTATACGTAAGCTGAGAGGCACGGTGTGTGCGTAATTCTCCGTTGTCCGGTGGTTTCCATGATAAAGCTTCCATTGCACAGCGGACTCGCGAAAAGCTAGAGATTGACGATCCGATGTGGCATACGGACCTGAAGAATCACAAATTCGTCAGTAGGACATGTTGCTCTAGGAGAAGGCGTAGCTGTTCGTAGAGCGGAGATTACATGGGCTAGCGTCGAATGCACGATTTTCCAACTACAGCGATGTCGGGACCCAAGCTGTTGAACAATACGACCGAAATACGTTGAGGGGCACAGTTACTGACACGAAGCGAAGAATGCGAATCATGGTGCGGTCAAAGGTGGGATTGAAGGCATGGTGTCGTGTTGTGGTTCGTTCCATATTGGACCCTTTTTGGCTTGGCAGGCCGATAAACCAACGGGATTTAGCCTCTGTTTCCGCGCCGAAAAGATTCACAACCTAGCAATACTAGTCAATGCGATCGCCTCTCAACTTGAAGGCGGCCCTGCAAGCAAGGGACTAGCTGTAGTAGTTTTGTCAAGTCGTGCGTCGCTCGCTGCCTAGGGGTTTTGTCCTCTCCTCAACGCAAGGCAAGTACATACAGCATGCACCACTGTGCGGATCCCTGAAGAGAGACTTGGTAACAAATTAATCCCTATCCGCGCAAGAGACAATGCTGTTGGCGGTCCGACTGCCCGGTGGCACCCTTAGGTAGGTCTCGCCTGCAAAAAAAGAGCACGCGCGCGGCACAACCGTCAGCACCTCGGCTCGTGTCTAAGCAAAAGGCATGTTAAATGCAGAACAGAACGTGTACGGAGCCGCAAGTCACGGTTTAGGAAGTCCGGTGCTGAATGATCGATGTGTAACTACGCCTGACTCAGTGCGGCTAGTCGGACCTTTGAAAACGGCTACGCTAGTGTATATTTAGGCGTCCGATGAATGCACGGACCGCTGCAATTCGCTGACAACCTTTGAGACCTGGCCAATTCTTCTGACGCCGTGCATCGTGAAGCGCGATGAAATCCGGTCCGTTCCTGACGTCCATTGATTGGGACTTATGCAGCCAACGATGTTCCCCTTTTGACGATAGGTAAACACTATAGGTATCAGATTCCCCCAATGCGCTGAGCTTCCACTTCCGGGCCTACCTCATTCCTTTGTCTTCAATTTTCAATCAGTGTATCAAGTTTGAACACTTCGTCGTTCTTTACAACATGCGTTCCGCCGACCTCGTCTTTCTGCTCGCCGGCGCGGCAGCAGCGCAGTCAACTGTTGAAATCTTCAATATCCAACCCGATAAAACCATTACCTTCAAGTCTGCAGACGCAAAGGCAACAACATACGAACGAGCCTGCGACGTAACTCTGAGTCTAAAATCCCAAGGTAAGATTCTCAACCTCGCGGCACAAAGTCTGCAAAGCGGGTTCCCTCACTGCGTCAACATACCTGGAAGGAAAACCAGGCATGGTTCATACTACTGAAAACAGTCTGCTAAACGGAAAATAGCATCCCACACAAAGTCTACCCCGCTATCCTCCTCCACATCACTCCCCGCCCAAAGTGCCTCCGACCTCTCCCTCATCCCAATCCCCTCCCCCCCCTCCCCAACAGCCGCCCCACGCCTCCGCCGCCAAAACCCCTCCTCCGACTCCGACCCCGTCTGCGAACCCTACACGCTCGTCCAAGGCCCCTCAACCTGGGAAGCCCACCTAACCATGTCCGGCATTCTCACCGCCGACATAAACTGCAACTGGAGCGGCGAAGCCAAAAGCGCCCCGTGGACCTGCACCGGCTCGAGCGACGGCGCGTACTATGCCACCGAAAGCAACAGTGCGGCAGCTGAGACGATGACGCTCAAGAGTGGCGAGTTGACTAGTATTGGGCAGTTTGTAACTGCGACGGTGGTTAGTGCGCCTACGGACTTTGGAGCGCAGCAGACGGGTACGGCTGCGCCTGCGAGTGCGTCTCCTTCTGCAAGTGCGTCTCCTTCTGCAAGTGCGTCGCCATCGCAGCAGAAATCGCCTGGTGCGGCGGTCCCGGGAGCGCTGCCGACGGACGCTGTGGCTATCGCCGCTGGTCTTCTTGCGGCCGCGCTGGCTTTGTAAACGTTCTTCCCTTTAC